TGAAGCTGTTCTGGTCTCTGGTCCTTTGTGCGAGATGTTTTTTTCTCCTTGGAGGTTTGTAGTTTTTCCCAATGTTCTGAGTTCTTCCAGTGAGACCTCTTTGTGTGGTCTGTTTTCTTCCATTTTCAGCTGCCCTTGTTGTATTCAGAGGTCCTTTCTCTCTGGACACTCATGTTCTAGATCCAGGGAATTTAAGGAAACATACTTTGCTAATGATGTCCACCTCTGTTTTTTCTCTGATCTTTCTTTCTGGAACACTTGGTCAGAAAGTGAGCTTTCTGGAGGTCTTCTACTTTTCTTATTTTTCTCCTGCTTTCCAATTCTGACTTTTTGCTCTGCTTTCTGAAGATTTCTTCAGCTTTATCTTCCAACCCTTTTCTTGGGTCTTTCATTTCTGCCATCATATCAGTAATGTCCACAACTCATTTATGTTCTCTGTGCTTAAAAATAGTATCCTGGCCAGGCGCAGTGGCTCAAGCCTGTAATCCCAGCACTTTGGGAGGCTGAGGTGAGAGGATTGCCTGAGCCCACGGGTTCGAGACCTGCCGAGGCAACTTGGTGAGACCTCATCTCTACAATAAATCAAAAAAATTAGTCAGGCGTGGTGGCGCTTACCTGTAGTTCCAGCTACTTGGAAGGCTGAGGTGGAAGGATCACCTGAGCCTAGCAGGTCAAGCCTGTGATTGGCTTGTGATGGTGCCACTGCACTCTAGTCTGGGTGATAGAGTGAGACTCTGACAAAAAAAAAAAGAGTCAAGAACAAAAAGCTGATTGGGATCTGAGGCTGTGGGCAAGTCTTGTTGATTTTGAGCTTGACTATACAGGGATTTGGTGGGTACCATCTGTAAGGGAATGCACTTCATGATGTCTAGGTCTTTGCTCTTGAGCTGGACAGATTTTCCAGTATTTTTTTAGTCTCCAACCTGGAAAGTCATCCTTAATTGTGTACATCGGTTATTTAGCTTTATTTCCTCCCTCTACCTTTTTTCTTTCTTTCTTTTTTTTTATGGTACCCACACCCTCAAGTATGCTCAATCTCTAATCCTAAGACCTTGTTTTCCATCCCCTAGAGAACAAACCTCCAAGGGTGGGAAGATACTTGCCCAGTCTGTGTGGAGTGTGTGTGTGTGTGTGTGTGTGTGTGTGTGTGTGTGTGTGTGTGTGTGTGGAGGTGGTTGGGCTCCCAGATCTACTGCTCCTCAAGGAATCTAGTCTTTCAATAAGTTCCCCTTCATTCCCAATTCCAGAGCTGCTTGGTGTCGTCATTTTCTGAGACTTTGGAGTATTCAGTGGTGCAAATTTGGGTGGTTCCAGAAAGATGACAAGGAATGACTGACTTATGCAGAAGGAGAATCCTAAGTCAGGGGTGAAGTAATAAAGCACCTTGGCAAGTGCAGAACAGTATTAAAATATTTGTTGTAAATGTTTTCATTTAACTTACAAGTTGACAAAGGACTCCTGGGACACTGGGCAATATAGTCTTACGAATACATTGCTCTTTTTCTGTTTTATCTATTTCATTTGTCTATCTAGTTATTCCTGCTTCTTTACTTTTTCTTTTCTTAGAGGAAAAAGGTCTGAGTGGGCTCTAGGCAGGAAAGTTGTTCTAGGTTTTAAAAATTTTTATTTTTAGAAAAAAAGGTCTCACTCTGTTGACCAGGCTGGAGTGCAGTGATACAATTATGGGTTAATGCAGCCTTGACCTCTGGGCCTCAGGTGATCCTTCTTCCTCTTCAGCCTCCCAAGTAGCTGAGACTACAGGTGTGCACCACCATGCCCAGCTAATTAAAAAAAAAATTTTTTTTTGAGTTGGAGTCTCGCCCTGTCACCCAGACTGGAGTGCAGTGGCCACTCCTGGCCATCGCAGCCTCGACCTGTTGGGCTCTGGTGATCCTTCCATCTCAGCCTTCCGAGTCGCCAGAACTACAGGCGTGCGCTACCACACCCGGCTAATTTTTTGATTTGTTGTAGAGATGAGGTCTCGTCAAGTTGACCAGGTGGGTCTCGAACCCACAGGCTCAAGCAATCCACTCACTTCAGCCTCCCAAAGGCACGGGATTACAGGCTGAGCCACCAAGCCCGGCTCTAAATTTTTTTGTAGAGGCAAAGTCTTGCTATGTTGCCCAGCTGGTTTCAAACTCCTGTACTCAAGCAATCCTCCTGTCTTGGCCTCCCAAATGTTCCAGGTATTTTTGGAACTGTAAATGCTAGTTGTTTCCTTATCTTCTTTTGCTCTACTGTACGGACAGCATCATGGTTAAGACCCATGACTGTGGAGCCAGAGTACTCAAGTACCCCAGCCTGTTATCTGTGTGGTCTTGGACATGTGGCCTTCCTTGCTCATCTGAAATGGAAATGACAGTGATTTCCTTATAGGGCCAAAAGAGGAATGAATAGGATAATGTGTGTAAAGTGCCAAGCACATAATAAGTTCTCAGTACATAATAGCTCACATTTGTTATTATTACTTTTTTTCTTATTTTAAGAATTATTAGCCGGGCTCGGTGGCTCAGCCTGTAATCCCGCACCTTTGGGAGGCTGAGGTGAGTGGATTGCCTGAGTCTGCGGGTTCGAGA